ATGAGTGGAGCTGCAAAAGCTGGATGCCAGTCTAGATATGAGTGGAGCTGCAAAAGATGGATGCCAGTCTAGATATGAGTGGAGCTGCAAAAGATGGATGCCAGTCTAGATATGAGTGGAGCTGCAAAAGATGGATGCCAGTCTAGATATGAGTGGAGCTGCAAAAGATGGATGCCAGTCTAGATATGAGTGGAGCTGCAAAAGATGGATGCCAGTCTAGATATGAGTAGAGCTGCAAAAGATAGATGCCAGTCTGGATATGAGTGGAGCAACAGAAGCTGGATAACAGTCTGGATATGAGTGGATCAACAGTAGCTGAATGCCTGTTTAGATATGACTAGAGTGGCAGAAGCTGGAGGCCTATCTGGAGATGAAGGGAGCAATGGCCAGTGGCAAGCTGAAGATGATGATGGCTGGAGCTGTGAGCTGGCAGTAGCAGAAACAGATACACTTTGATCCTAATCATCTGGGCAGTGGCACGTATGGGTATTTACTTATTTTATATAAAGAAAAATATAAATAAACTGAACAGTTTACTGCCAATGGAGGAATTCTTAATTTGAAGAACCAATATTTACTTGGATTATTGAAGTCAACTTTATAGTTTCTATCCCAGTATTTTGGTCATTTTACTCTTTGTCCTCCATTTGGGTAACCTTGATGGAATTTCAAACTGAACTGTTTATTCAATTGACAGTGTTACATTGATCTCATTTTTATCTAGTACAGCGTAATTATTGTGCATCTGATTTCACACTACCCAGCACAGCAATTGAACTACGTCACCATATTCATGAACCAACACTTTAATCCACTAGGCTATTTTCCCATTGTAATAACAAAGATGAAGACAATAGTCCCAGTTTAGATAGTGTAAATAATGATAAATATTCATCTTTGAAATTCAAACATATTCAAGACCAGTTCACTTTATGTACAAAAATATTTGTCATTGAAATTAATACATAAATTATGTAACTAAAAGTTTTAAGTCATAAGTTTCAAATACTTGCCTATTTTACTAGATAAAATTAAATAAAATTAAGTATGCAAAAAATAAGATACTGTTTTCAAAATTTTATAACTTTTTCTTTCTTTTTTGCTTTTTTTCCGTCTACATGATTGGTGATAAATTAATTTCAGGATAGAACATATTCTGGTTGAAAATTGTTGCAACTGATAACAGATAAAGAAAAACTGGAAACAAAACTAGAAACATTGAGTTTTGATTTGTTGTCAAAACAAATCTAGAAACTTGGTCTTAAATTTCTGTAATTTCTGTAACCAGTTCATATCAATGATTGAATCCCTTCAGTGGTTACTGTGAGGAATCTGCAGTTACTTTGTAGAAAACAGTAAATAGGGTTACAATAAAAAATTTCAACTGAATACAGTTTCAGTTTTATCAGTGGATATGTAGGTAGTGTAATGGTTATCAACATGACAAGTGAAACTGACAGGCCAAGGTTACATTCTGACCAAATTGTTAAGTTTTATTTTGCTTTTGTGGAGTTTGTGTTACTTCAAGTGTTATTTTTAGTGGATACTTGAGTTTGAATAGACACCCCACTGTTTAAACAGGGTGTATTATGTCTGCACACTTGAGAAAATCTAAAGAAAACATGTTGTATGAAAACTATCTTTATAAGCCAAAAAGAGAAGAAACAATTTTTGTAAAACAACAATTTTTGGAATTTAAAAATTTTGGCTTTACACATTATATTGCTTTCTCTTTTTCCTTCCTCCTTTGTTTATAAAAATACTCAATTTTTTCACAAAGTTTTCACATCTTCCACAAGCGAAAAGGCATGAACCTAACTTCTCATTCCAGGTCTGGATGAAATGGTATATATAGTGGACTTTCTAATAGGTGATGGCTAGTTTAACAGATGACTCTACATTCAAAACTATGGAGAAATCAATAGGGAAAAAATCTACTTTCTTTCCCAAGGAATCATGGTAACTGGTGGATCTTAAAAGAAAAATAAGGGTTATGATTACCTATGTGCTAAAGACACATGCCATTAAAAAATAGGAAAAGGGTATCAAATGAGTTAATTTCAAAATTGTAAATGAAATGACCATAAAACAGTAAATATCTTCTTCAACAATATTCATGTACTGCTTCATAAATCATGAAAAATATAGTTGGGCTGATAAAGAAGTTTGACACCAGTATTACAGTATTAAACATAACTGTCAAATAAAAGGTAAGATTCAATGCATAAAAAAGTGTTTAGGTCAATGGAGCAACTATAAAAGAATTTTATATTTTGTAATATATATATAAAAAAAAAAAAGAAGACATTGAGAGGAGAAAGAAAATAATGTCAAATCTTTGTCACCAGTCCCATAATTTCGGAAACTGGGTGAAGGTAATAAGCATCTTGTCAGCCTTAACTTTTTTTTAACCTCACATCTCCTGAAAGCACTACTGTCTTTCATTCTGTTTCACAATGTCATTCTTTCCTTATGCTATTCATTAATTTTTTTCTTAAATCATTTTGGAAACTTTTAACGTAAGTTTCCTTCCTTATCTTTTTTTCTGTTATTTACATCTTCCTGTTACTGTCTCGACGGTATTTCCTTTTTAGCATCCTTTTTCATTTATATTTACGACATTTTGTTGGAGGCAAAATGGAGTAATAGATAACAGCTCGGATTGAGGAATCAGAGAGCAGTGTTCAAAATCCAGTTGAATTCATTACATTCACTTACATGCTAATACTCTTGGGAAGGGTATAAATCCTCATCTTCCGCCCCAACAGACCAGGTTCTGTAGCCTTGGATGGAAACTGGTCTACCACAGAAAGAAATGGCTACCTACTGCGGGGAAAAAAATCTGCCTCGTCAGTCATGTATCAAAAGATACATGATTACCTAAGCATGTGTCACGTATGGCACATAACTGACTGACTGAGATTTTGTTGAGTCATTTCTGTTTTCATTATGTTAGAATCTATTATGCAAATTAATATTTTCACAATAAAACTGATTTTGAACAAAAAGGTTAATAAAATTTTCACATAACCATAATAGTCATATGATAATATACAATGTGAATTTCAGCTGGTAATATTATTTTATTAGAAATAATTACAATTAATAATAGGGGAGTGATTTTATTATGAATCTCAAGAGTTGTTCATCAGATTGTGTGATTATATATATATATATATATATATATATATATATATATATTAATGGTTAATTGATTTGAATCAGACAATTAAGGAATAGTAGTAAATTTAAAGTGGTTTTTTTAAAATATCTGCCTGAAGAGACTGTCTTTTTTTTATTTATATATATATATATAATATGTGTTAATTAGAGTTGAATCAGACAAGGGATTTTAATTGACCTCTTGATTATATATATATATATATATATATATATATATATATATATATATATATATATATAGCCTGAACAAAATAAACTATGAAATCTCCATAAATATCCAAATATCCTTAAATGCCTATAATTTATAAAAGAAGCCATTGGTTTATACCAACGGCTTCCTATACTTAATACTTTTCATTTTTCACTCTCACATGGTCATGTGTGACGTCACGAGCTGCGACATGATTTTCGTTTCCGTGTCTTGTATATACGAGTTTGTCGTTACTTGGAAATTTTCATGTGGCAAGAGCAGACTATCACTGTTATTTCAGCCGTGTGTTGTTTGATTTATTGAAATTGTCAACTTTGATAATGGCTTGTGTAAGCCGAAAGCTTAGATTGGATTTAAACATGTATCAATATGGTGTTTTCTTTTCATCTTTCAACAACAATGTGATTAAGCTTATCAGACAATATGAAAGGAACTTACTTAAAATAAATAGACAAATCTTGTCTATATTATTTAATGAAACATGCATTAATATATATATATATATATCTTTCAAAATTATTAAGAGAAACAAGATTGTAAAGTTACATGATTCTTCATTTTCTAAAGGAGTAATGAATTTTATTTTGTCAGATTTTTATCACTTTAAACTTTATTTTTAGTGGATACTCTTATTTCAGTAGATGCTCCATGAAAAAACACATTTATTTATTTTCATCCTTAGAAAATTACTTTATTTCAATAAAAAAACTGTGCAGGTATGATAATTTTGAGAAATCTGTGATGAAAGGAATTTCGGTTAAAAGGCACTGTTCAGACCTTGATTGACTGGTAAAATTTCTTCATGGTTGAATTAGTTAAAGCATGTTGGATCTAAGAACAGGTTCCTTATTCCCAGGGGTATGCAGGTTCAAATCCTGTTGGAGAGTGCATATTTTTTTTTCATAAGATTTCTCAAAAATTCAGGACAGTGGAGGAAAATAAATATACTGTTTAACAAATAAACAGAACATCTACTCAAAATAATGTTTCAAGTGATAAAAATGATTCATCTTCTATGTGCCATATCTCTTCAATACATAGGTGACCATGGCTCTCTACACCCTGCAATCCTATTTACCTCTTATGTCTTTTTTTTCACCTTTCCTTCATTTACCTATTTTCCTATCCATTTATACAAGCTTTTTATATTAGCTGATACTGAAGGAAAGAAGGAAGCAGTGTATGTCCCATGAGTGTCAAATAATCTATATCTTCATTATGCAACCTTGTAATATCAACTCTTATTTCCTGATTCTCAGCAGGTGTCCTCTTTCGTTCCATTTTCCTTAAAATATCATGAGTCACCTGTTCAGCACATTATATTCTCAGCATCCTCTGTAGAAACAAATTCCTGCTAACTCTTCATGTTTGACGAAAGTGCCCAGAATTCACTGATATACAGGAGGACTGATATTTCATAATGGTTCAGCATTCTTCTTGGTTTCTTGCAAAGATTTTACTGCTACTTAATATTTTGCTTAGCTTTTAAAAGACACCTTTGATTACTTCAATGCACCTAAATTAGTTATTTCTAGTTTAGATAGGCAGGAATGGTTATTTTAAATTAGCATAATCTCTACTTAAAAAGAAATAATTATAGGCCATCATGCTATTATTTTGTTTGTTATCTAGGGTTTTTTGTTAACTTGTAAATCATTATCTATTCATTATTAATTTCTTAAGGGTTTTTGAATTCATTCATTATTTGATGATGATGATGATTATTAAATTTACTTAGTTTTGTTTACAAGTACAGTTTGTTATATTTACATATGCTCTATCACAAACAAAGAGGGGTATCAAGTAAGAGAAACTACATCATGAGGACTTTCAACATCAGTAATGACTAAAATGGATAGCAATGAACTCAAAGAGAAAATAATGATATAATCTAGATGTTAACTTTCTATAATACTTCAAATAAAAGGTTAGGAAGGAAATCGATACTAGAAAGAACTATAAAAGCCACTGGATTTGAGAAACCTATTTTCCTGAAAAATTGTCTTAAAAAAAGATTTTATAAATTTCAACTGACACCAGCACTGGCTGCTTGGTCAAGGAATGCCAAATGTTTCCTTGCAGAGGCACATTCAATATTACCATTTACTATTTAGATTTCAGTGTCAGATTTTCCGTTCTGTTAAAACTCTTGGCAGATATTTATATTTTTGTACTTGCTTGATTTTTGCCATCTTAAATTTGTAGTTTGCATCGTGGGATGTACTTTTTTTACTGACAACCATACATTCTGTCTTACAATTGATGTTTAGTCTTTTCTATAAAATATTGGAAATTGCAAAAAAAAAAAAAAAAAAGGTTAAACAGAAATCAATAAAAAAAATCATAATCAGTGGCAAATATTAAAACAAAAAGATCTGATAAAAATAAATACGGTTATGAGTAAGAAAAGTGGATTGGCCAATAAAAAAGTATCTGAAAAAAGTGTTGTTGAAGATGTCAATAGATATAAAAACAATGCAGAATATCAACAATGTTAAAGACAGCAAAGCAACCAAATAACAATCTTTAAGTCAGCATCATAAAGAGAAAGTTGGGTAAAGAAGTACATAAAAACTTATTCCTCAGCATAAAATTTTAGTATTGGGTGTAGCTGATGACTAGAATAAATTGGTTGTTGGGTCCTTCTTGGAAATAGGAAATCAACAAGACTTAAAAGACAACAGTAGAGAAGTAAGGTAATGTGTAAGTGAGCACAACAGGCAGTAAAAAAAATTACCAGACTCTTCATAAATGATGACAGCCCAAGATAAAGGCAGAGGTTGATTTCATGTTCTTGGATTATGGAGTTGTACAAACCACAACCAAGATGCTTTTCTGATAAAACACTGCTCCTTCATCTTTCTGCAAAGGGGATTTTGTTACCCCCCATCATTGTTACCCCCCCCATCATTTATATGCCATGTCACTTCGGGAAGTGAGTGATCATAACTATTCACAACTTACTATCCTTTGTAGCGCTTGCTAAGATTTTTTTTTGTTTTACCATTTTATCAAGTTCATGTTCTGTGATTCATCTATCCAAGCTCATTAGGTAGGTGTTACTTACTGCTTTCATCTGGCCTTCAGTATCAGTATGTCCTGTGAATGTTAAATTCTTCAATCCCTCTTTTTATTATATGACTAGAACTTTCAACAATCTCTTCCTGATTCTAAGTATAAGAATCATTATTGTTGCACGCCTTGCCAAAAAAAAAAAAAAAGAAAAAAAAGGGGTTTAAAGATAAATTAATAGAATGGCACTTCCCATCATTCCTCAGTTATCCAATTGCAAAAACTCATTTTATCACCATTTCTCCTCAGCAAACTTACCTTCATTATGCCCTGTGAGTGTTAAATTCTCTAAGCCCACATTCACTGTTGTATGTGCCAGAAATTACATCTGATTGAATGTTTTCCTTAAAACTTCATTACTCATCCAGTCCATAGTATTCTTAGTATCCACCATATCAGAAGATAGATATCATTATATAAATATATGTAAAAAAATATATATATATATATATATATATATAACTAAATATAACCAGTAATAACCAAAATGAGTAGCACATGTAAATCAAAGAGAAAATAATGACATAATCAAGATGCTGACATTTCACACTAAACAAAAGGTTTGGATGGAAACCCCGATCAATATTGGAAAGAAATATAACACCAATTGGACATGAGAAGGCTATTTTTCAAAAAAAAAAAAAAATTGTTTTAGGAGAAAGATTTTATAACTTTCAACTGAAAGCAGTACTGGCTGTTTGGTCAAAGGAAACAGCTAATATTACCTATATATATACCTATATATATATATATATATATATATATATATAGTGTAACCCGGATATAAGAGAGTTGTCAGGACCGGAGAAGAAGTCTTTTATATCCGGGTTTCTCTTATATCCAGATTTGGTCTATTTTATATACATTAACACAGGTTCTAATTTGGGACCAGAGAAAATCTCTCTTATATCAGGGTTACAGTGTATATATATATATATATATATATATATTGTGTGTGTAACATTAGATAGATATATGTGTGTGTGAGAGAGGAGGGGGTGGATTTAATCAAATATTTGTTTCTTTTTAATTAATTTATGAAAAAGAATGTATACTCTACTCTTTCTCCATGATAAAAACTCACATTCCAAAAATAAATTGTCAATATTTTTCATAAATATAAATTTGCCCATCTCAATTGGTTGAGACAAGTGAATGTATTGAATAGCATCATAAAATCTTACTTTTTCTATTTTTATTATATTATTAGCTTCATTTTCTTTCTTGTTATTCCAAACCTTTTTGCTGCCCATATTTTTAAAAAAGAATATTTCTTATTTATTAGACTCTTTTCCTCTTGTCTCCTCTTATTCAGGATTGGTCTGCTTTTTTTTTTTTTACCCTACTTTCTATTCCTTTTTCCTATACTTTTTCCCCACTTTGTTTGCCTCCCCTCTTTTCTTTCCCCACTTTGTTTGCCTCCCCCTCTTTTCTTTCCCCCACTTTGTTTGCCTCCCCTTTTTTTCTTTCCCCCACTTTGTTTGCCTCCCCCTTTTTTCTTTCCCCACTTTGTTTGCCTCCCCCCTTTTTCTTTCCCCACTTTGTTTGCCTCCCCTCTTTTTCTTTCCCCACTTTGTTTTCCCCTCTTTTTTTTTTCCCCACTTTGTTTTCCCCTTTTTTCTTTTCCCCACTTTGTTTGCCTCCCCCTCTTTTTCTTTCCCCACTTTGTTTGCCTCCCCCTCTTTTTCTTTCCCCACTTTGTTTGCCTCCCCCTCTTTTTCTTTCCCCACTTTGTTTGCCTTTTTTTTTCCCCACTTTGTTTGCCTCCCCTCTTTTCTTTCCCCACTTTGTTTGCCTCCCCTCTTTTTCTTCCCCACTTTTGTTTGCCTCCCCCCTTTTTCTTTCCCCCACTTTGTTTGCCTCCCCTCTTTTTCTTTCCCCCACTTTGTTTGCCTCCCCCTTTTTTCTTTCCCCACTTTGTTTGCCTCCCCTTTTTCTTTCCCACTTTGTTTGCCTCCCTTTTTTTTCTTTCCCCACTTTGTTTGCCTCCCCTTTTTTTTCTTTGTTTGCCCCCCTTTTTTTCCCCACTTTGTTTGCCTCCCCCTCTTTTCCCCACTTTGTTTGCCTCCCCCTTTTTTCTTTCCCCACTTTGTTTGCCTCCCCTCTTTTTCTTTCCCCACTTTGTTTGCCTCCCCTCTTTTTCTTTCCCCACTTTGTTTGCCTCCCCTCTTTTCTTTCCCCCCTTTGTTTGCCTCCCCTCTTTTTCTTTCCCACTTTGTTTGCCTCCCCCTTTTCTTTCCCCACTTTGTTTGCCTCCCCCTTTTCTTTTTCCCCACTTTGTTTCCCCTCCCCCACTTTGTTTGCCTCCCCTCTTTTTCTTTTTTTTTTGTTTGCCTCCCCTCTTTTCTTTCCCCACTTTGTTTGCCTCCCCCCTCTTTTTCTTTCCCCACTTTGTTTGCCTCCCCTCTTTTCTTTCCCACTTTGTTTGCCTCCCCCTCTTTTCTTTCCCCCTTTTTCCCCCTTTTCTTTCCCCACTTTGTTTGCCTCCCCTTTTTCTTTTCCCCACTTTGTTTGCCTCCCCCTCTTTTTTTTTTCCCACTTTGTTTGCCTCCCCTCTTTTTCTTTCCCCACTTTGTTTGCCTCCCCCTTTTTCTTTCCCCACTTTGTTTGCCTCCCCTTTTTTTCTTTCCCCACTTTGTTTGCCTCCCCTTTTTTTTTCCCCACTTTGTTTGCCTCCCCTCTTTTCTTTCCCACTTTGTTTGCCTCCCCCTTTTTTCTTTCCCCCACTTTGTTTTTTTTTTTCCCCACTTTGTTTGCCTCTCCCCTTTTTTCTTTCCCCACTTTGTTTGCCTCCCCTCTTTTTCTTTCCCCTTTGTTTGCCTCCCCTCTTTTTTTTTTTCCCCACTTTGTTTGCCTCCCCCCTCTTTTTCTTTCCCACTTTTTTGCCTCCCCCCCCTCCTTTTTCTTTCCCACTTTGTTTGCCTCCCCCTCTTTTTCTTTCCCCCACTTTGTTTGCCTCCCCTCTTTTTCTTTCCCCACTTTGTTTGCCTCCCCCTTTTTTCTTTCCCACTTTGTTTGCCTCCCCTCTTTTTTCTTTCCCCCCACTTTGTTTGCCTCCCCCTCTTTTTTCTTTCCCCACTTTGTTTGCCTCCCCCTTTTTTTTCTTTTCCCCACTTTGTTTGCCTCCCCTCTTTTCTTTCCCACTTTGTTTTCCCCTTTTTTTTTTCCCCACTTTGTTTGCCTCCCCCCTCTTTTTCTTTCCCCACTTTGTTTGCCTCCCCTTTTTTTTCCCCTTTGTTTGCCTCCCCCTTTTTTCTTTCCCACTTTGTTTGCCTCCCCTTTTTTTTTCCCACTTTGTTTGCCTCCCCCCTTTTTTCTTTCCCCACTTTGTTTGCCTCCCCTTTTTTTCTTTCCCCACTTTGTTTCCCTCCCCTTTTTCTTTCCCCACTTTGTTTGCCTCCCCTTTTTTCTTTCCCCCCTTTGTTTGCCTCCCCCTTTTTCTTTTCCCCACTTTGTTTGCCTCCCCTCTTTTTTTTCTTTCCCCACTTTGTTTGCCTCCCCCTCTTTTCTTTCCCCACTTTGTTTGCCCCCCCTTTTTTCTTTCCCCACTTTGTTTGCCTCCCCTCTTTTTCTTTCCCCACTTTGTTTGCCTCCCCTCTTTTTCTTTCCCCACTTTGTTTGCCTCCCCTCTTTTTTCTTTCCCCACTTTGTTTGCCTCCCCTCTTTTTCTTTCCCCCCACTTTGTTTGCCTCCCCTCTTTTTCTTTCCCCACTTTGTTTGCCTCCCCCTCTTTTTCTTTCCCCACTTTGTTTGCCTCCCTTTTTTTCTTTTTTCCCCACTTTGTTTGCCTCCCCTCTTTTCTTTCCCCCTTTGTTTGCCTCCCCTTTTTTTTTTTTCCCCACTTTGTTTGCCTCCCCCTCTTTTTCTTTCCCCACTTTGTTTGCCTCCCCCTCTTTTTTCTTTTCCCCCACTTTGTTTGCCTCCCCTCTTTCTTTTCCCCACTTTGTTTTCCCCTCTTTTCTTTCCCCCTTTGTTTGCCTTTTTTTCTTTCCCCACTTTGTTTGCCTCCCCTCTTTTTTCTTTCACTTTGTTTGCCTCCCCTCTTTTTTTTTTTTTTTGCCCCCTCTTTTCTTTTCCCCTTTTTGTTTGCCTCCCCCTTTTTCTTTCCCCCAACTTAGTTTTTCCTCATTCAATCTTTTTTTTTTTTTTTTTTTTTGCTCAGTCCTTTTTTTATTTAACTTTCTTCTACCTATTTTTTCTTCTTTTCTTCCCTTACAAATTTTCATTTTTCAACTTCCCACAATTTTTCATTTTCATTTTTCTTTCTCCCCACAAATTTTTTCAGAGTGGCGGAGGAGGGGGAGTTCTTGCAAACATTCCCTTTCCTCATCTCTTTCTCATTCCTCACTTTACAATATTCATTTTCTTTGTTTTATCATATTACCTTCAATGGAGGGCATAAATACAAACTCGGGAGGCTTACTTTTGGCTGACACATCTGCCATCACATATCTTACTGAAAATGTCAATGAGAAAAAAAAAAAAAAAAAAAAAATGAAGATTGCCACTGCAGACTTGGTTTGAGTAAAGATCTCATGGGGAACAGTGAAAGGGGTGAGACAAGCTTGAGAAAGTGAGAAAATAAAAACAAAATATAGACTATGTCTAGAGTGAAATGTAAGAAAAAATAAACAAAATGTACATATTGTCAAGTGTTTTCTTCTACAGCTCATACTTAGATATAAACCAAGGATTACTGTCAGGTGGGAAAGAAAAGACCACCACCAGGTGAGTATTATTCAAGTAAATATTGTCTGGTTCACGAAACACAAACAGGCACAAAGAACAATATATTAGAGAATATCAGGGTTTATATCACACAAACATACACGTGTGTGTGTGTGTGTGTGTGTGTATATATATGAGTATAATCATCAATAAAGTAAAATTTGAAGAAAGGAAAAAATAACATTACTAATTTTAAAGCTGCAAAATCAATGTAAGACATTTCTGGGTTGAGTAGACGTAAAGTAAAAGCTCACATAATATATTTTTATAGTTTACTATTAGGCCAACAATATACTTTCCTCTGTAAAGCTGAAATGGTCGAGCAGGAGGTGATTTTAACTAGCACTGAATGAACTCAAATGCTTTTGTTCCATTTATTTTAATATAATTTACTTACATATTTAAAAAAAAAAAAAGAATGATTTTGTCTTCTGTGTACCATGTCCCTACAGAATGTGAGTGATCATGGCTCTTCACAACATTCTATCCTTTGTAGCTCTAAGTTTACCCTTTTCATCACCCCCCCACTCAGTTCTTGTTCTGCTACAAATTTATAAAAGCTTTTTATGTACTTTACTTGCTACTTTTATCAGAGGCCTTCAGTTTGTGATATATGTCAAATTCTCCAGGCTCTATTTCCTTATAGGTTCTTGAAATTTCATGACATTTAAAAAACAAAAAATAGATATTTATACTGCTTAAATGTTTTTGAAAATATCTTTCAACCAGAGATTTCTACCTATATCAAAGTGATTTGATCCAAATGAATTTCTGGGTATTTACTAGAGAAAGATAGTCAGCAAACTAATCCCCCCAACTGTTAGTCTACCAAGTTTACAATGAACATGTTATAAATGCTATACATCCAAATGGTAATAATATTTGTACACTTTTAATATTGGAAAATAGTTTTATTCTCATCTTTTTTACCAAGTTGAAATATAACCGAAATAAAAGTCTTAAAAATTGTATAGTTTTAGGATTCTTATTTTAAAAGGCTTTATATTTACCTTTGTTTGTTATTTTGGTCAATTCTATTTTTAGCAGTTGGACAGGTTGATTCTTAGTACATGCAAATAAAATCTCATTTTTAACTAAGTTATTAAAATCTCACTTTCTCACAGTTGAAAGCTTTTCACGGTAGTTAAAATAATTCAGGTTTTCCTTTATATGAAAATGATATTTTAATGTTTAAACTTTTAGATAGATAAGACTTCACAAGTAAAATCGGTATATTTCATATAAAAATCTCTATTACTGAATAAATATTTCTAAAATTTGAAGCTACCCTTTTGTCAAAAGTTTTTAATTTTTAACTGTAAAAGCTTTAGTTCATAACTAGTGTTTCTTTTATTTTTTATGAATCTTGGAGATGAACAATTATTATGATTATAATACTTTGATTAGTGTTTTCTTATTGATTGTTGTAATCACTATTTTACTTGTTACTTACTCCAGTAACAGCTATAACTGTAATATAACTAATAGCTAGAAATATTACGAGCCAAATATGTGTATTATATCAATGAAGCATAATTTTCTTTTGAGATATTTACATCATCATAAATATAATTAGGTATCCATTTCCAGTTAATAACCTTCTGGGAAGTTGAAAATTTAGCTATTCACCTACAAATCATGACTGACAAAAGAAGATACAATGACGAAAAAGTTGTTACTACAATAACCAAAAGAAAACAAGTCTTAGTAAAATAGTTTATACCAATTCTTTTTGTACCAGATTTTCACATGAGTTATATTATTTAATTGAATTATTTTGTTTTATTCTTTTTTTTCTCATAATAATTCATCCACTTGAAGAGGTTTCTAGAGAATTGCTTTTTGTCGAGTTCTTCTTATAATCCAATCTGCAGGCTATGTTTTATTATTATTGCTTTTTCTGAATCATTCTTAACACATCTGGCTTAATGGTAGTACCTTCATCAATTCTAGATTGGGTTATTTTCTTCTTTCTTCTTTTATAGCAATGTAACAACATAAAGGTGTTTGTTAGTGAATCATAAGAACAATAAACTAAACCTTCTTGGAATGAAAAATGTCTATAAAGCCAAAACCACACCAAGCGACACTAATGTCACTAGAACTAATGGTTAGAAATGTTACAAGCCAACTATGTGTATTATACTGATGAAGGATAATTTTGTTTTGAAATATTTACATCATAAATATAAATAAATTGTTAGAGAAAAGATCTGAGTTCTACCAAAGCTTGTTCCTTAATAAGCAATGGTGGCATGATGTCCAATGAAACAAAATATTGCATTCAGTTCAGAAAAAGAATTTATAAATTTTTTATAAGAAAGTAATATAAAGTAATTAAAAGTGGAATATAAAATAATTAAAAATAATGCAATACACTGTTTGTTTTTGCTCTTTTTCTTGAAGGGGAGAATACAAAAGTTTATATTAAAAAACGTAAACTGAATAAATGATTAATAAAAAAATTGTACATAAAAAATAAATATCGCAATAGTCTTGGTTGGTCTTTGACACAAGTTTTCTAAAAATATGAATGTTAGTTAATAAAAATAAAAAAAAAATGCAGCAAAATATTTAGATTTTAAATTTTCTAAAAATAGAATATCTCAAAAAAGATCCAACCAAAATAAGTCTGTCACAGACGAATGGTTTGTGATTTAGTCTTCAAATTTCAAAAAGATATACATCTTTGGCTTTCTTGACCAATAAAAATGGTGATTCTACCCATGCAAATTTTAATTCTGAGACCTGTCTGAAGCTTATTTTGAGATTATATAAGAAGATGAGTTGGCAGAAGTTATAAAATTTTCAGAAGGGACAAGAAAACAAAAGGTGCCAGGAGATTACAACATGTTATAAGGATACTGGAGGATTGAACAATTTTGGCTGTCACAAGTAGATGAAAAGTTTTTATGGAAGAAGTAAATGATGAAGCAAAATTGGCAGAATGAACATGAAACCAATGAAGTGAAAGATTTCTATATTAATAAGTGAGCCATATTAAAAAAAAAAACAATATATATTTCTGAGATGAGGTATTGTAATTATTTACATGGTTTGGACTGTTATCCTTTATTGCCATATTCATGATGTTTCATCTTTTGTATTCTTCAGGTGATTGAAACATATGACACACTGGATAAAAGCATTGGTTGAATCCAATGACTTGACTCAAAGAATTGAGTTCAATACCTGGCTACTGCAGTGGGGAACAAAATCTTGGAGAGTTGAATTAAAGGGAGATAACTGAGATGGCCAGAAGAGGCATGGAATGTGGAACTAAAACAATCTACCCTGGTGGATGAAATTCAGTTCAAAATTCTAGACACCTAAAGAAAGCCAGAGTGTACAATGAATATGGCAATAAAAATGAAAACAACAGTTCAAACAATGTAAATAAAGTTTTAAAAATATTACAAATTTGTTAATGTCCTATTCGTTCTAGTGACAGCCTTAATTTCAAATTTCAATTAAGTTGCTCCTGATCTGGCATCTCGTTTACAGTCGCTCTCTCACAGATGTACTGTCACCTTTCTCTGTCTTTTCTACAAATACTTTCATGGTAACTGCTCCAACAAGATACTTTTGCTAGTTCCCAGACTGCATGAATTTAAGCATGCTACTAGGCTGGCATCACGGTCCCACCCTTTTACTGTCAAAACGGTTAAATGTAGCTGTTTCTGCTACTCTTCTACAGTAGCTATATGTCTCACACCTACTGTCTGTGGAATTTCCTTCCTCTTACTTGTTTCCCTGATAGCTATAATCTCCAACTATTCAAATGTAATGTCAATCGACATCTACAGGTGCTCTGACCTATTCCCTGTCCTTCTCTTCATCCTTTCCTCCTTTGAGCCTCTTCACTCTCACTCCTACTCTGTTGCTTTTATTAAAATCAAACCAGAATTCTTGTTCAGATGTATTTTGTCTTTGATTATCAATGTGGAGAAACACAAGATTAGCCAAGTCTGTTGAAATAAATTATTTGGTTTAAGTTACAAGGGTCAAGACAGATTGTGAACTGCTGAATGTAAAGGGTGCTCCGAAAGTCTTGTCACCCCTAAATAATATAATTTTCTATTTCAATGCTATATAGGGTATTATCAAGGAGAGGGTTTCAAATGAATGATACCAGAATATACATCAGTTGAATGATGCTGTTTGGAGAGCCTTTGCAACAATCAACAAAGCACAAATTTGTAAAATATCACACAGGACATGGCACTGCATCATTTTGTACCATGTATCATATAGACCTTCTTGATGTGTGACAGCATCAGTGAAAGTTAATAAACTTAATCCAGTACATGTGCTTTGTATTAATGTATTACATTTTGTTCTATTGTTCTTGTTACTTTTTGGTAGGTTGTGTGTGACAACACTTTCGGACCACGCTGTAGATAGAGAAAAAAAAAGCCACAACAACAGTCAGACAGTGAAAACAAGGAACATTCAATTGTAATTGTTAATTGAAAGATTGGTGAGCTTGAATTGTATTTTTGAGCCAATATTCAAATGGAGTTGACACACAAGTTGTTCAAAGACGAAAATCACTTTCCTTACTCTTTTGAGTAGAGTTCATTTGCTTTGACAGTGCCAAAGAGTGTAAGTACCAAAGGCTGGTTTTACTGGAAGACATCATTACGTTACTAATGATTTGGTTATGCTATAATC